CACCTGTCGGTGGCATGTCGGACACGAACCGACTAAAACCGCACGCCGTCGGCGGGTACTAATAGCCGGGGAACCAGGTATACCCTAGAAAGGAAGTCCCTGGTGCCCCGACATACCTCGGGTCATCTACAGACGAGTAGACGACCCCCCCCCCCCCGTGTGGGAACGTCAGGCAGTCCACCTGAAAAAAAATATGGCCAAAACACATTGCGCCAAATTAAAAGAACAAGATATAAACGTTTTAAGAAACACATATTTCTAGGACACAAACAGGTTCTAATCGAAATTCAAATATTAAACCAAAAATATTTTTGCGCATAAAACCTTTTTTGTGGCCAGATTTATAAAGTCCACCCTATTCATAATAAAATAACCTCTTTAAATAAAAACTGAACTTTGCCATTGCAACTTTTGAACTAAGATAAACTGTTTATTTTAGGATTTTTTACAGTGTACCTTGTGTAAGACATTTAAAAAAAGACATTACCGATTACTTATAAATAGTATGAAAAAATAATTGAATGATGTTACCTGATTGACGACTATATACCGGCGCCGATCTGTGATACCGACCTAATTGCACAAATAGTCACAACATAAACAGAACAGAAGAAACAGATAAACCAAAGATATTGTTATCCCCAATCACGCAATTACTTTCAAATTTACTTGAACAAAAGATGGTGGGTATTGCAGTCTGTCCGTTATCAAACTAATGCATCAACGAAAACAAAACGAAACGGGGAAAATTACTTCATTACAAGAGCTTCACAATAGGTTAAAACAAAGCTTTATGCAACATTTTGTTTATTAAGCCAAGAAATTTGCTTGCACGTTGAGTGCAACGTGGCTTAAAATCGAAAGAACGCATTTGGTATTCAGTGTATTTTTAATATTCAGTGAAAATTGTTCAACGGAAAAACAGCTTTTCCAATTTCATACTATTTTGAAATCATTAAACATTGTATTTTATTCATTAGAGATTAACATGATTGACCGAATCTCAGTGTGGTGACGGATTAGGAATACTGAGTGTCACCACCCCAATTTATCCCGTGGGTATCGTAAGAGCCAACTAAAAGAGCAAGCAACGCAGGGCAATACCGCAAATAGAAGAAAAACCTGAAATAAACCCTATAGAAACCGGCATGGAAAACATGGTCTAGTAGACTAAAATCTCCTTTCTAATGAGAAGTCTATGTGCAGCAGTGGACAACAACTAAAAGCTATTGATGATGATATGATAATGTTGATGAGCCTTAAATATAAAACTTTTTATAAATAATTTTATTTTGAATAGCAAATGGAGATAATATATTAAACATATTGGATAATTTAGTTTCTTCTTTTGCAAATCAACCAACCAAAAAAAATTAAGTTAAGTTATAAAAAAAATATTTTGTGTGAATATCATTCTATCCCTAAAGTGATAATTTTGTCACAAAATTTAAAAATGATAAAATATTGATTCAGGTAATTTTACAAACTTAGTTACTGCTGTCTAGTTAAAGTACATCAAAGAATAAACATGAGGCAAGAGGCGGTTGCCTCTGACCCTCAAACTAGGTGTGTACCTGTCGTCAGTGGTTTCTCGCTCTTGCCCCATAATAGGTACAAATTGTTAATACTAAATAACAAACTAGCAAATGGAGTATGCAGCGTGTGTGTATTGAGTATTCAGAGAGTATTTAGTTAATATGTGCGTGTGAACTAATGTATAATGTTGATTTGAGTGCTAGTTTTGTGTGGAGGTATACAGTATCTTTTATTGACATAATATCAAATTAGATGGTATAACTTAACATTATGTTTCATGTCTGGGTACAGAATGACACATTGTATAATTAGATTCAATAAACTTATGAATCAAAGCTACATAAACAGAAAAAGATCAGCATATGTCTGTTTTAAATGCGCTCTTAGGCGCCTTCGTAATCAATGGCGTTCAAGTATCTTTTTGCAGCCATCAGCTTTGCCGGACAGTCAGGAGCTCCTGTGACGTGATTGTTCTGCTTTTATAAGGGCAGGTAATTAGCACATTTTGCTTCTTCCGTCTTCTTGGTGCAGTCCTTTAGCGAATTCAGCGTTATTCACCCGTGTGGGTGGTCTTCCACGTGGTTCGTTCTTCAAGTCGAAGTTTCCATTATGAAAGCGTTTAAACCAAAAACGCACGGTGCGTTCATTAGCAGTCTCCTCTCCAGACGCAGCGTTGATATTAAGAGCCGTTTTAAAAAATCGTACTCGCCACTCGTATTAAAAATGACTCGGATTTTTGAAGTAGCCATCTTTCACATCTAAGCTAAATGAAATAAAACATTTAAAAGTCGAATGTTGCACATTTTTTAACAGAAGATCCTCATAGGTATCATGTTTAAAATAATTCACACGAAAATCTCACACCCTGAAGGGTTTATGTCAATTCACAGCATCTATTACTATACAACAGCAATTTCATACTTGAATCCCTATTATTAGCATAGCAAGATCTGGTCACCATACCACACTCTACCAAGTTCGGAATCGGACAGCCGTGTGTGAAAAAAATTAATAATCATAGCATAGGATAAATAAATCATCGTGTTTGACTTATCATATCACGTTAGTAATGCAGTGCTGTATTATGGGATTAATATTGTTATCTATTATAAACGTGCAATATGTTGTTAAAAATCACACTTATTTTTTTAAATTTTGATATTCATCGAGTTGGTGAAGCCTTTATTTTTCACACCACATATTAAATTTATTGTAAACTTTTGTTGCGTAGTGCAGGGTCAGTAGTTCCTACGTTGTTTACTTTGCCTCCGCTAGATGTCGTTGAAATATGTTTCTGCTGTATATTGAAAACAAGCTATTAAAAACGAGGTTTTCAATTCGACTCACTATTGTTTTTCTTGTATTTTCCACGCAATATGTTCGCCGTCTATTTATTTACGTAATCTTTTTATAATCCTTTCTTATTTAATTAGTTAAACTCAAGGGTGATGTTTGAATTTAAAGAAAATATTTAAGGATAGAAATTTAGGGTTGGAATTTGCGATACTTTTTAAAAGTTAATTATGAATGAATGAAACTATTCACACTATGAATAAAAAGTTTCAAGTACATAAATTAAAATGATTTTATTAGATATAAACAATATAATTACTGAAATATATTAGGCTAATTATATATAGTAGGCCAAAACCTCCTTTGTAAGGGGAGGCCTGAGTCCAGCAGTGGACTAGTAAAGGCTGTTGATCATCCCGATATAACGGGATTATTTCGTTGAACTTCATGACGTTAGCTGACAATGTAATGGCACAAATTTTTAAACAGAATAAACATTTTATGACCGTAACTGGTAATGCAGACCGGGCACAAAAAGTGGGAACAGTCAATTTATAACTTAACCTGTTTTATTAGTGTTGTTAGGTACGTTTCGAACCACTGTCCATAACCAGTTAAATTATAATCAGATTGCATTTAAATATTTATTGTTAAAACCTTTTCATGGTGATGAGGATTTTATTTATGACCTTACGTAACTTATTTCATAGTAGTTGCTTAACCAATTTGGGTTTTTCATGGACGGCGATAGTCACTTTCCATCACGTGACCCGTATGTTCGTTGGTCCCCTCTTGAATAAAAACAATGTTGTGCTATATGTTCACTAAGTAATAAAACTAGGCTTTCCTCGTACTACACTGGTCCATGTACACTACACATATACGAAAAACTTTATTCCGTCAGTCACAATTACGAATTTCAAAATACCGATTTTCATAAATTCGAATGGCTCAAAATTTCTAATATAACAACTCCGATTGATCATTTATCCTATTCTTATAACTAAAAAATCTTGTAATCTTGTAATTAAATGACAATTCATTATCATAAATATTTTCTTTCACTGGTTACAGTTCTAACATTTTTTTTGTTTTTTCGGGAAACCCCCTATGGCCGTCAGCAAACCGGGGCTTGCGGCGGGAGTAGTGGCAGTTTATTCGAAGAATTAAAAATCGGAATGTCGTTTTTCGGACCGCGAATCCATCGAACATTTGATTCAACGAACGTATGAAAATCATAAAACAAACACATCGCATTTACAACTTTCGGAAAAAAAACATGCATTTTAATAAAAGACATAAGTCTTAGGTAATATGAAATTCGGCTTTTTAAAAATCGGAACATCGAAATTCAAAATAAAATATTTAGGAATTTTTGGGTGTTCCCTCTATGTGGGGTTTTGAACAGGTTTGTGAGTCGTTACTGCAAATACACCCTTGAAAACAGTATATAAGACCGCCGATTGTTACGTCTATATACTTGTAAGTTTCTTATGTGTTAACTGTAAACAATAAAGATATAAATAAATAAATATATGTGTAACGAATCTACACCACTTGAGACCAACTCGAACAAACCAAAAACTATTAGTATAAAAGTTAAATATGAATCCTTGAATCCGATTGCAGCGACACCTGTCAGATCTAACTGTTAATCTATAACGTCCAGGAACCGACTCAAACACATAAAACAATTCATCGTATTCGGTACAGCGATTTAGGAGTGCAAATACACGTGTATACTGAACACATTGTACAAAAGAATTATAACGTAAAGAGTATGTATGTATATAAGTATTTATTTTTGTATTTGCCATACAAGCGGTGTGCACGCTAGACACAGAAAATATCTTTATAAGTACTGTCTGCTTCAAATCCGATAGCGTTAAATCATAAACGTTATCGACCTTCAGATGGGGCTTACGTTCATGTGATAACAATAAGTACGATACACATAAAAAGGATCAGAAAAGCATTAATATCATTACTCATATCAGTACATAAAATTATTTGAGACAGAAAAAATCATCAATCATAGATACTTAATAATTATCAAGTTTATTATTAACTAGGTAATCACTTTTGATTGATTATTTTAAACCACACTTTTGCCTGTAATAAAAATACTTAAAAGCTTAACCACTTGCTCAGTTGCTGGTTAAGTCGCCACAATGAGGTCGTTTTTACTATTATGTTTGTCGTTATACATTGTGTCTGCTAAACATGAAATTTACGATGGGTAAGTATTTTTGACCTATTCAGTTTATTAACAACTAGCTATATCCTGATACGCTTTGCCAAATTGTAGTAGCATTTAAGAGAAAAGAGGAACAAAAAAAATGTATATAATCAAATTATAAATATAATATAAACAGATAAAAACCATCTTTAAAGCGTGTTGTATATCGTTTCAAAGTTTGAGCTCAATCAGTAAAGAACTTTTTGAGTTTTTTAAACCAACTTAATAAATACATTGTATATATATATATATATAAATTAAAGCATACAATGTCGTTACTAGTAATCTCTTCTGTCACCACAAACACTGAATAGCACCAATACATAAATAAAAAGCGAAAAAGTAATTTAGATCGCTTAGCTCAAATTACTCTACTTTTGTAAAAACATTAAATAAATCAGGCTGAGCAATTACTTAGATAAATTAGTACAAAAGCATGATTATACTTCAATTAAATAAGACATTAATTATTTTAGTTATTGTTAATATACGATATTTATACTATTTTATATTTCGACTAAACTTGATAGACATTCGGCACCAAAACTATTTGTTTATGGCATTTAGGTGGGTAGGTAGACAAATATATATCCAATTTAGAGTGATTTATTACAAATCCAAACACCAATAACCGAAAATTGTGATGCTGATTCTAAATTATCTTGATTAAACTAATAAAATCTGTAGTTTCTGACCGGTATTAATCTGGGAATACTCTGTTGCTTAAATAATCAAAATCATACTACATATCCAAAGTTATAATAACAAAAGTCAACCTTTGGTAGTACTTATCTTATCCCATGTAGACTTGCATTTCTTTAAGCAGCAAAATAGTTCTTTAATATATATTTTTTGCTTTCCGTGAGTTAAGCAACTAAAGAACTACGCCACGAGTGAATATAAAACTCAACCTCAAATATTCTTTAAAGAGTAGGACTTGTAACAGCTCTTTCAAACGTCAGTAGTACAATTTCAAGGATCGAAATTAATCAGTGCCCAGTTCTCTATGTTTTATTAGAAGTAATAAGTAAAAAATAGTGATTTTTAGAAATAACATAAGATCGTCCACGGTTGAACATTCTCACAACACTTGCTACTGCGCCTTCTCAAACAGTCTTACCAGAAAAGAATTGCCCCATGAGGCACACCTTATTCCTTAACGTTTATACCCTTTTTCTCCCGAATATGAGGCTAACTATTATCACTTTAAAAGTCTTTACTTTACTATATTTACTTACTTACTTTACTATATACATAATCTAATTATGTCTATCTATCTAGGTCGATCGACTATGTATCGATGAGAGTATTGGTTTTGAATGAAATCTTTATGGAGAAAAAGTAACCTGGATCTCTGCATATCTATTTGGGTGACATTAAACCTTTGAACAAAGCCTATCATCAGTTACCAAAGCTATCACATTCTGTAAACTCAGAACATAAGTAGTAAATTGTGCTCTACCATCTTCTGCTAATTCGAATTTATATGGGTTACATCAAACTTCTAATACTCGCTACTGTCACTTAGAAAAGTGGCTCAGCAGTGGGCAGTGGATTCAAAATTAAAGTAATTACAAAAGACTAAGTTTTGCCGTTCTTCTCTTCTCTTCATTTTTTTCTTAAATAGGCGGGATTAAAATGGTGGTGTAATAGCTGCATTTATAAAAATGCAAGTAACCAGTGGATGACTATGTTCTTTTTTTTCAGATACGTCGTTTACGAAGTATACCCAAACAACGTAGACGAAATTCAGTTACTAAATGACGTAGTTAACGAATTAGAGTTAGATGTTTGGACATACGCTAACCTAGTCAAACCTGGGGCAATTTTTGTATCTGAACCTAAAAAAGTACCGTTTGAAAATGCTATGAAATCTGCTGGAATACCATGCAAGGCTACCATTCAGAACATCAGAGAGTAAGTTACTTTATACAACAGTCATTTCCATACATCATAAACCAGCATTTTGATTGAGTAAAATATGATTAGATTGTGCATTGACGCAGTATTATCTCAATATTTATATGAACTCAACATGTTATTGTCAGATACTTAATACGATAACGTTTCAAATCATCCTTGGTTTATACTGTTTAGTTTATCTCAAATTAATTACTAGTATTAAATAGGATTATATTTAAATAAACTTATTTGGAAACAGGGACCGGCTACCGGTAAAAGTGTGATATATATACATATCACGTGTTAGATACTGATGTTGTGAGCTATAAACTATTACAACATCTACTATTATGATTGATCGAATTTAACATGTTTATGTTGTTTTGTTGTAGTATTAGTGGTAATATTGTTGTATAACCATCATCTTCTTTAAGGCTGCTGGAATTAGAAGATCAGCAATTAGCAGCTGCCACCACGTCTACGAGAAACCTCGGGTCTCGGCTTTCACTAAATCAAATATATACGTTTGCGCAGGTAAAAATATTATTAATCAATTAATTATTAATTAAAAAAAAATATTTAGTCAGTTTATTGAAAATAATTCGATCTGGGCGGACTATGTTTTAATCCACCTAGAGACGGAGAAGAAAATAATAGATTGATTTCAAAAAAGATGGTCCAATCACGATTTACTAACATATATTATATCTTTCTGAAGAATAACGACAATAAGAAGAAGGCGAAGAAATAAAAAGTACTTAAAATATCATTAGAAAATAAACACATTAGACAGGATCATAAAAATAGAAGGGATTTATGGAACTTCTCATATTTCAATTAAAATACGAGTAGTAGTCCCAACATTCCAACCAAGTTTAGCTCTATGCTAATCTTCCAGTTAATTATGGACTGGACTATATGGTAATTATCTCTCTTACTAAAATTGTTGCCTTTATTTCTAATAATACAAGAATTTACTTCAGTAATAGTAATTAAAGACGAAGGTAAAAACGATGCGACAAAGGAGAGATTTAAACTGAAATGTTCTTTTGATATATTTAGATGTTTCTTGGTTCTATGCATAGGTTACCGAGTACTTGGCTGACATAGCCAGGAGGTTCCCCAGAGTTACAAGGCTTGTTAATGGAGGAAACAGTGTTCAAGGTCGACCCATTCAGTACTTGGAGATTTCTACAACAGGTATCCAGGTAAATCATTTAATGCGTATCTTTTTTAAACAACATTTCTTTGTCGCGAAAATATTACTAGTTTTTTTTATTTTTAATACTTCATTATAATTTAGATCGAAAAGTATTGGGTCTATCCCACAATACCAAAGTTATTCGTAAAATTTAAGAAAGTTATAATATTCCTCTGTACCATTTCAACTCACTGCAGGTTATTAATTGTATTTTTTTAGAATTCACGCAAACCTATCATCATGTTGCAATCCCTCCTGCATGCCCGTGAGTGGGTAACTCTGCCGCCAAGTCTTTACGCCATTCACAAGTTAGTAGTTGATGTGACCGAATCTGATTTACTCAATAACTATGATTGGATCGTCATGCCTGTTGCCAACCCTGACGGATACGAATGGTCACGTACAAATGTAAGTAGATTTAAAGAATAAAACAGAATACCGGGTGTTAGAAAAGTACTGGAACAGCAGAATATTCCGCTAATAATGCATTTTTTGGAAACACATTAAAAACAAAAGTTACAGGAATTTTTCATTACTATCCATTGGTGTCCATTACTATCCTTGAAAATTACCTTGACGGTTATCTCAAGGGTCAAGTGCAATTTTCAAATGGGATTGCATATTTTTGAGTCCGGAAATGAAAAGAGTGGAAAAAATGACAAATGTATAAGATCTTCAGTACGCAAATTTTGATCTTTAAAGGTCACCAACCCAAGGTCAATCTCACACTTTTAAAGGTGAAAATATTGTTCCGATAAAGTACTGTTCCGGTAATTTTCTAACAACCTGTAGATCAGAGAAGAAAGATAAAAGAATATAACCCAAAGAGTAAACGTAACATTCTGTAATGAAATGATTTCTTATTAGTAATCAAAGTATTAGGTAGAAATAATTCTCAGCACAGTAGAACTTGAAAGTATGTGAAATATTATATTCTATTTTCAGGCACGTTTTTGGCGCAAAAATCGGCGAACCGGCCTAATGGCCGGTAATATCTGCCTTGGTGTAGACCTAAACAGAAACTTTAACGTCAACTGGGGTACAGCATCAAGCTCGAGCGTGTGTTCAGATACATTCCACGGACGAGGAGCACATTCTGAACCTGAAACTCAAGCAGTCGTCAATGTTCTAAACAGATACAGAGGCCGAGTAGCTATGTATATAGATTTACATAGTGCTGGCAGCATGATTTTGTATGGATGGGGTAACGGAACCCTTGTTCCTAATGCTTTGTCGCTCAACCTAGGAGGCACTAGGATGGCACAAGCTATCGACGCAGTTAAGTGGGCGCAAAAACCTAACTACAGAGTTGGTAATATTGTTGCTATCTTACGATACACAGCTTCTGGAGGATCTAGTGATTTTGCACAAGCAATTGGAATCCCATTCTCTTACACCTATGAATTACCAGCAAGGTTAAGTTCTACTGGAACGAATGTCTTCTTAGTAGATCCGAATTTCATTAGACAGGCAGCGATTGAAACCTGGGCAGGCATTGTAGCTGGTGCGAGACATATTTTGAATCAAATATAAACTTCAAGAATATAGATTTTCCTAAATATTTTTTATTAAATAAAGCTTTTGTTACACTGTCTTTCTCTTTATTTCTATATCTTTATTATTTCCATTAGTTTTTTTTAAACAGAGAGTGACTTCTAACAAAATATATTTTTTCCAATATTTATAAAGAGAAAGTAACTAAGTATATCTCTTAGCTGAGCTTTCACACCTAACCACTTAATTATAAATATATATATATAAAAAAATTAAACAACATTAGCAAAAATGTGCAAAATAGAAATTCAAAGTATGTATGGCAAACTTATTGCTAAGTTTATTTTGATGAACTTGTTGTAGATATAAACTAAATTCTAAAATAGTGTGTAGTTCTTAAAAAATCTGGATTTTTGGTTCCACAGAATGGACATACATGTTTGTTCCAAGATTTTTTTTTTTTAAAGATAGCTCTTGCATTAGGAATATATCCTGTGTCCCGGGGGACTTTACAAACATACATGAAACGAACACAAAGAACGCCCAGACTCAGAACAACAATTTGTAGTTCACACAAAGTGTCGTTACATGTGGGGATCGAACCCACAAAACTCAGTAGTAGAAAGCGGCGTGGCAACAGCTTAAACCACTACGCCATCAGTCTAAATGTTTATGAACTTTCGTTTTGGAAGTCAGTGAAATAAGAGACATTTTATAAACTAGCCGCACGTTTTTTTAGTAAAGGAATATAATCTTCTAATATTGACGGCTTCGGTGGTGCAGTGGTAGCGTATGCGACTGCTGTGCTGAGGTCTCGGGTTCGATTCCCGGGTTGGACCAAATGTTTTAATGAACTGCAAACAACACAAGCTTTGCTTATCATAGTACAAGCTTTGCTTGGTAGAAACGATGTTGTGTTTTAGATTATTAACATAATTGAAAAACAATAGCCTAATAATATTAAATCATACTGAACATCCAAAAACATGTTTTAAAAAATAAACACTATTATTTAACACAAAACATACTATTTAGATTGAAATTTAGCTATTCAAAATAATATTATTGTAATTCAATATATAGGTATACCACATGGATAACATAAACGATAACTCTTTTTCCTGGTATTTGAACCATTTATCACTTTTACATATCTATTTTTTAAACTATGAATAATAATTCACAAAACAAAGCCTAGAGCCAATGAAAAACTGAAAGTCATTCTTTACTAGAAAATGTTAAAGAGTAATCAGTCTAAACCCTTTTCAAACATAACCAGAATTAAACTTCTGTAGGAAGACCGTAGAATTTTGTACTTGTAATAATTATAATACCACTCTCCACGTTACATTGTACGTAATCATTTTAAAACACACCGCAACAGCACTTAGGCAAAAGATATCATGTAATGTTTTATGTTTCCTAAAAATTATATTCGTTGCGTCCAGCACTGTGCCATCAGATAAGGCTAATAGCCACAGTGCTTTGTATGCTACAAAGTATTGTCCATAATATTTAATATTACACTTTTGGCTATCTACCGCATTAGCGTTGAAAGAGACCAGACAAGTGGATTAAAGATGTCTTTCTGAAACTTCGATATGGTTTATCATCTACGCCAAATTGTGAAATCTGGTGGTGTGGTAGAGGACTTAGGACATGTTTTGATTTAATGAGAACGCCTGCTTAGCGCCGCCTGCTGGACATTAGAAGACGTAACAGCATCCTGGCCAGTCCTTTGACAGATACAGCTTAGGCTATTTATACTTTGTATTTTGCATATTTAAGTTTAGTTTAAAACAAAAAATATTTGTGATGGAGCGACATAGTCATAATTGTAGCTAAGCTCCGTAAATAAAGATTTAAAAACATCTTCGATATGTATGCTTAAATGTTTATTATGAACAAATCGATTTATAATAATCATCATCATCATCAACAGCCTTCAATAGTCTACTACTGGACATAGGCCTCTCCTTAGAATGGAGGTTTTAGCCTACTATACCACGCTGGCCAGACGTGTTGGTATAGGGTTTGTGTCAAATTTTCCTTCTCTTTGCAGTATTGTTGTCCTGCGTAGTTTGCTCCCTTAGTCGGCCTAGTCTTACGACACCCACGGGTCGAGTAGGGGTGGTGACACTCAGTAATCGATTAGTGCAAGGTACAAATGAGCCAGCGCCACCTACAGCTCCATACCACAGTCTCGAAAGAAAACAGTGTGACCATAAGCGGCGGTGGTCACTTATCATCAGGTGACCCGTCTGCTCGATTTACTCTAATTTATCTTTAGTTAAATTAAGGCCAAACTTATATACATAAAGTCTACTTTTAAATATACATTATTTAAAAGTAGACTAAATGAAAGCAGTAAAACACTCTGTACTTCAGCGATTATAAAAGTACATTACTAACCAGTGATCCAATTAAAAATTCTGGCCCTCATAAAAGATACATTGTGTTAAACATCATGGCTTCAACTCCATCCACTTTTTAAAATAAGTTTTACTTTACAGACGCGATAATATTTCATAATAAATGACATAACACACCTATAAATTTTATATAAAATTTGTTTGAATTTCGTAGGTTCCTGGTAAAAAAATTTCGCCGAATTCCCCAATATGCCGACAATTTTACCATTTCATCATTCTCTAAAAACCTTATTAGGACTATTATTGATAATATTGAAATATACAAAATAGTACTGAAATCGTTTGAGCCATTCTCAAGTGATATTTACCTCACTTACAAACGAATAGCAATTTCGATTAATACAGGCTCTTTCGCTGGAGCCGACATGTACTAGAGTAGAAACCGCGATAAGGCAAACGTAGTGTACAGCGCCCTGCAACAAGTTGGACCGATGACTTGAGGAAAATAGCTGGCAGAGGATGGATTCAGACTCCCCAAAGCCGAGATGGTTGGCGCTCTTTGGGGGAGGGTTTCGTTCAGCAGTGGACGGCAATAGGCTCAAGATATACTCCATATAGAATATCTTTTTGTGTTGTCAATAATTATTGACACTAACATCTTAACGTCCAGTCCAAGCAACGTTAAAATAATAATACCGGCATTTTACAGGGTTAAAAAAGTTTTACAATATAATGATATACCTATAAATAATGGCTGCACGGATGGCTTAGTGGTTTAAGCGGTTACCACTCCGCTTCCCGCTGAGTGTTATGGAGTCGATCCCCACATGGGCCGACACTTTGTATGATCCACAAATTTTTGTTCTGAGTCTTGGTGTTCTTTGTGTCCGTTTCATATATGTTTGTAAAGTCCCCCGGGACACAGGATACATTCCTAATACAGGAGTTGTCTTTTTAAAATAAAATATATAAATATATACATATAATGTTCTTGTGAAAATTCATTTAGTAATTTATTAAATAACGATAACAAATAGAGAGCAACTTCTGATTTAAAACTATTATTTATGAAACCTCAAGATGGCTCAGACCGTAACACTTATAAAATCAGAATATTATTAATTGCCCAAAGTACTCTTATAACTTTAAGCTAAATTGGCAAATCATCTAAACAAATTTAACCAACACCCAACCTCAATTAACAAGTTTTTAACCATTGAAATAATTTAATAGATATCAAGTGATGTTCTTGTTAAACACTTGAAACAGTCATATTCCAAGACCTTAAACAATTTCTTCAATAAATCCAATATCAACTTAAGCTGTGGTAATCAAAAATCAATTACAACACTGTTTTGTTTTCAGTTCCAAATACTTTTAATTACTTTACTAAATAAAATCGGTACCTTTTTCCACGAAACGGGTAGGGAATTTTGCATGAAAATTGGTAGTTACAAAGTTTTGGTTTTTTTAATACTACTTATTCAGAACTTACATAACAAAACAAAAGTTTATTATATAATATCAGATGTTCTCTATAAACAAATAGCTTTATAACAAAAATCACATTATGTATGTATACTCAGACATTACCAAAGAAATAAATCCATTCATACAAATAAGCCAATATAATCATGAATACTAACATCGTTTACACTAACAGATTATGAACCATATTTCCGTCGGTCATCATACTTGATCGCGGTTCGATGCCAGTGCAAAGCAAACAAAAGTTACAACATGTTGCTCTAACAGATTGCTAGCAAAGATATAAAGTTGATAAATACAGGCAGCACGTTATTATACACAAGTGTCTATTTTTTCCTATTTAGGGCCGGTTTTTTAATACTCAGTTATACTGTCAAACAACTAACTTGGAAATAAATTCATCTTGCTGTTTATCGAGCGAAAAAACTTTTGCTGTTTTTCAATCGGGTGTAAACCGACAGATAGTTAATTGTAGGGAGCCTCATTAAACCAAATGACCTGTGCTTAGCTGAACTGTTTCCATTAATTCATTTTAATTTGAAAATTGATCTCAAATGAAATATTTCGAGTAAGTTAGAACTCCACAGAGGTCCATGATGAAAAATATCACTAGGTCCAAGATTGACTAGCACGCAAAGGGGTTTGAAAAGGGCTTGATTAAAAAATCCCAATAGTTTATACAGCTGCTAGCTACTTATGTAGATGAGAGAAATCTGAATTGTCCTGAAGTAAAGCTAATGGCAGTTGAGTGGAATTCTAAAAACAAGATGTCGTTGTTGACTCTATGAAACACTTTACTAAATTTGAAGTAAAAATTGAAGTCGATTGAAGATGTAGGTTGCAAAGGTCTAGAATTTACTATTTGGTATTACATTTTATGTGTTCTGGTGATTCTATACTAACTGTGTTTCGATACTTTTATTGGCTTGTTTCAAATACAAAAGTTTAAAGGACATCATTCAAAAAGTACCCAAAAATTAAAGTGCCAGTAAAAAAAAACTGTGTTATCTTACGGCAAATGATCTTTTAAACATTTTTTATTATTACTACAAACGTCTACGACCAACTTTTAGACCCAAAATGGATCTCCGAAAATCGTAAAATGAGCATTTACATTTATGTATCAATTAACTATTTCTGAATAATAAAAAACCTAAACAACGCAAGACCATCGAAATG